TGAACAAGCGTTGGAAGAAAATTTAATAACATTGACATTTTGTTATAATTGGTCATAATAGCTTTTATTATTTTTATCGTTATTATATAATGGATTATGCCGAAATCACTAACTTAACCGAATCGGCCAAACGATCATTCGGCTAATTTTATCAGGTGCTTCAGGAATTATGATAATAGCTGTAAGTGAAAATTGTTCCCGGGCCAATTTTACCATAATGCGGGCTTATTTTTTAAAAATTTCTATTTTCGTAATGAAAAAGTCAAAAAGCCAATTCCGGCCGGAAATTAGTAAACAATTATGAAAATCTTGGTCCTCGAGGGTTAATTATTTAGATAGATGTTTTGAATATTTTAAAATTTTGAGCGATGATATCTCAACATTCACCAAGCCAAATTCGATGGATTTTTTTTATTTGAATTCTACAGATTAATAGAATTCGAATAAAAAAAAAGTTCATTTAAATTAACTTACTGTAGTGGTTGTCAAAGTAACATCGTTCAAAGTTTAAAAAAATTTGATATACAGGGGGGTACGAATAACAGCCGCCTAATTTTATTACATAATATATATGTATATACTGGTATATGTATATATATATATATATATTTGCTTTATTTTAAGTTAATGCACTCGCATAACTTTACTTCCATGTTAGTGCGCCCACATAGGTTTATACTATGTATACGATTATAATGCAAAAACTTGCAGTACGTATAAAAATAAAGTCAACTAGAGCTATTACCCAGGTCAGAAAATAATTACCCGGGCGGGTCAGATATTGACCCGGTCCATGACACGGGTTAACGGGTCATAAGGAAAATCAAGATTTTAAGTTAACACAATGTCGACGTAGCGACTCTTATTTAGAGCCACTAATTAGATCAATATTTATGTAGGTTACTCTCGAGAGTTTAATACTTGAACCGGAAATTTTCAGATTTTGCATTGAAAATTTCTCGTAATTTTCTACGTCAGAAGTTCTGGAGCACTATTTTATATATATTATTCATGAATTTTTATCCATATTATCCATGCAGTTGGGCCAATTTTTGACCCGTGGCCCGTCAAGAAGCTGACCCAACTCGACCCGGATAAGAACTCTAGAGTCAACTAAAATAGGGTTCATAAAAAAAAAAAAAACTAATAAAGTCAATTAAAATGGCCAAATTTTAAGTTTCATAAAAAAATACTAATAAAGTCAGGTCTAATTTTAAATTTCACACGTGCGTACGTACGTAAAAAAAATACTAATAAGTCAATTAAAATAGGCCCATTACCTCAATGAATTCATTAAAAAATAATCAATACTAATAAGACAATTAAAATAGGCCCATTACCTCAATGAATTCATTAAAAAATAATCAATACTAATAAGTCAATTAAAATAGGTCCATTAAGTTTCATAAAAAAATAATCAATACTAATAAAGTCAACTAAAATAGGCCAATTTTAAATTTCATAAAAAAATAATAAGGAATGTAGCGTAGCACGTATTATGAGATGCCATCTATGGGCAATTTATTTCGATAATAGATTGTCCATAGATGGCAACTGAAAGCCCGATGACGGGTTTTCTATTGACAGCACTCGTATATATAGTATGAAAATTATTGTATGCTCTGACTATTATCGCCATTAAACAAATTTCAAAAAAGAAAAAAAAATGGCTAATAAAAGTTTTGTAATCGGTGCACTTCTTTATCCCGATTATGACCTTTTGGATTTTAATGGTGCGATTCGTTTTCTAGGAAGTTTAAAATCTGAACAGAAGCTTGATGTAAAGATAATTACAATTTCTCAAAACGGAGGAAAATGCGCATCTGCTAGTCAATGTCTTAATTGGTCAGATTATTCTTTTGATGATTGTCCCAACTTTAATGTTTTGTTGATACCAGGTATTTTTAAATACTACTTATCATTGTTTTTATAAATATAGAGTTTAAAGTACTCACAAATTTTTTATAAGGTAGTAGGAGTTACGCTCAAGAAATCGAAAACCAAGCTATGATAAATTTTATCAATAAATGGATTCCGAAAGTAGATTATGTTTTATCGGTTTGTTCCGCAAGTGCTATTATAGCCAGTACAGGTAGGTTAATACTTTTTCACTATAATTATATTATATTACATTATTAATTTTAACTTTTTGTTTTAACTGATGAAATTTACAGGTCATTTAAATGGTAAAAAGGCTACATCAAATAAATCACTATACGATTCTGTTATCACTTATGGTTTAGTATTAATAACTTAGTCTATTCAAGTAATTATTAATGTCATGTTGAATAACCGAGTATCAAAAATTTTAGGTCCAGAAGTAAAATGGGTTAGACATGCTAGATGGATTGTTGACGGGAAATTCTATACATCAGGCGGAAGTAAATATGTGTTTATATATGCTGTTCTTTCACGTTATTTATTTTTTAATTATATCATTAAATTATTTCTTTTTCTTTTCATTAAAGTATCTGCCGGTAATTATTTCTATTTATTAAATTTTTAAATCTTAAAGGATTATTTTCATTTGTCATTTACCAAATTAAAATTAATTTATAGGAATGGATATGGTGCTTGGTTGGATTTCGGATGTATTTGGCAGAGATCATGCACTTGCGGCTGCTCATATAACCGAATATAATTGGAATTCTGATCCTGCTTTAGATTCTTTTTCAGGAATGAATTTTAAAGTGAATTTTGGAATTTTAAATTGAAGAAAATGAAATAATTTTCTTTAAAAACAGTGAATAATAGTAAAATAAAATAAAATTTAAATCACATGTATTAAAAACTCTATTGTATTGAAGTATACATATGTTTATTATTTTTAAATAAATGCCATGTAGGCGGCTTCGTCGCCTGGGTTGGTAAAGTTTGATGTTAAAATTGGTTGATACAGCTGAATTTGGTAGATGTTGAAATCTAGTCTTATTTTAATATGGAATTTAACCATTATTTTAACTCTTTTTGAGTTGGGTCAAGACAGATTTGTTAATAAAAGAGTGTATGTAGATTTTAGTAAATTTATATTTTAAACGAAACCCCAAATTTTATCGTCAGCCAGTTTCAGCTATTTGTTATCAAGGTGAGAATATAACTTAGAGGTTGGACTCAGATTGAATATTCAGCAATCTCAACCATTAGAAGAATTGTTTGTTGATATTCCATAGCACCTTAAAAATGTCGAATTTTTATTGCCAATATCAGCATTAAGAATAAGTGACTAAATATATATTAAACTTTAAGTATATTTACATACAATAAAATCTCCTCTTCACAAATTAATTATACACCTTTAAATTATTAACAATTTAAGTGTGACAGGTTATGCAAAAATTTGCTTTTCCAGATAATGTCGAAAGTTCACCTTTATAGTTTTAATATTTCCAAATTCATTAAACACAAATAATAGTTTTTTAAATTACCTAAATATACAAACTATATATATACCATATATTCGCCACTTGCTAACGAAAGTTAAAATATTCATACAAATAATTATAATTAATTGTTTGATTTCTCTAATAAATTAAGGGAACAAGTATTTCCACACCCTTATAAATTATAAATTATTGGTTTGGAATTTTAACAATATTGCTATATGTGATCCAAATGCTCCGGCTTAAAAATTGAGTAATATAATATATTTACTATAACTATAATACACTTTATTATTATGTTCATGATCAAAGGGTGTTAGGGGTGTTAAAAAACTTGAGTAAACTCGAGTCGACTTAGTGTAACACAGAGGTCGACTTAGTCGACTTCTAAATGACTCAAAAAATCATATGACTGATTCTCTAGATTTTATAGCAATAGATTTTATTTTTCTAGATTTTATAGATTTTATTATGATAACATAAAACTATATATGATATACAGAACTAATACCTATATGGGGTGTCATAAGTTAAAAGGGCCCATTTTTACAATTTTTTGAAAAATGAGTTTTCGTTAGATTCATATAAATTTTGACATGATTGACTTTTTTTAATTATAAATGAAAGTCGATTTGCATAATAAAAAATCAAGATAATGTAAAAAGAAAAATTACATGAGGCTGCGTAGAGCCAAACATGTCACAAGATTGCCCGATAGTCACCTGCCGTCTTTAACCAATCAAAGTCGTGAAATTTGATTAATCCTGGATCAGTCCGAAATCAAACCAAATTATTAAACTCAAATTTCTCAAAAATAAAATATATGTAAAAATGAGCTCTTTTAACTTACGACACTCCATATATATATTTTTTATTCAATAATTCTCTCCTCAAACCAACTTTTTAGGCCTAAAGAAGCTCTAACCGTATCCTCAAGAAGATTAGTTCTGGTAGAATTTAAAGTATTCTTGGCAATAGAAAAAGCACGCTTACAAAGAACACTTGTAACCTGTAAGGCAAAGTAGTCTGCTGCAATGCAGGCTATAGTTGGGAAATGGTGAGCATTAGTTTTTCACCACAGTAGTGAATTTACACCTGGTTCACAGAATAAAGCTAAGTATGCCACTAACTCATCCTCTGTGTTCGTTGCAGTTTCTCCACATATATTTCTTTGTACTTGCATTAGTTTTCTAAAGGTTTTCAACAGATCTTTAATTTTAATAATCGATTCTGATTTATCATTTTTATATAAAAAATAAAAAGCTTTTAATTGATCAATAGCTAATATACGGTCAGTTTGATAAAAGGCTTCAGATTTATTCGATTGATCAAGAATACCGGAAATGGCAAAAGATTTCTTAAGATAAGCCCAATATTTATTTAGTTTGTTTTTTATTTTTTTAATTGTTTCACTATATATACTAAGAATATGATTATTAAGATGATTTAAAAGTCCCTAAATAATTAATTGTAAAGATCCATGTGAGGGTTGCAAAGCATCTGAAAGAATCAAAGTTGCTGCATAAAAGGGTTTGAGAAGTTCCATCATTTCTTCAATAATTTTCTAATCGTTGACTTCTAAATAATTATCTTTTAAATTTGGGCAAGATTGTACAAGGGCATCAGTAATATTACGAATTTCAAGAAGTCTTTCAAGCATCAAATAGGTGGAATTCCACCTTGTCTCAACGTCGGTTACTGGATAGAGAAATTGACAGTCTAAAATAGCAGATATCCTTTTCATTTCCTCTAAATGTGTAGGTGATTTTATTTTATTACAAAAATGTCGGGCCTTCTGAATTTGGCAAAGATATTTTTTTTGACCTGCTTTAACTACAAGATTAATAACATGAGCTGCACAACGTACATGCTCAAGTTTTGGATTTATAGACCTTTGAAGAAAACATAGGCATGTCAAATTATTTGGTGTATTATCACTAGTGAAGCCAATTACCTGCTCTTTAATCTCTAGAGCCTTACTAACTTCAAGAATTTTTTCTCCAAGGTATTTTCCTATATGGGCATCATGAAGAGGAATGAAATCAAGAAGAAGAGCTTTTGCCGTCTATTCAGCATCAATCCAATGGATCATAATTCCAAGAAAAGATTACTAATTGCATGCTGTCCAAACATCCAAAGTAAGTGCTAATTTATTTGGGCTGGCCTTTAGGGCCATCTTAATTTTATTTTTGCTAAATCAAATTGTATTTTTATATTTGTAGATAATGTTTGACGGCAGAGAAGCCTGTAATGTGAATTGAGATTGGAGCAAAATTTTCTAAATGATTCCTCTTCAAATACTGAAAATGGTTGCTGGCTAATAACGATCTAATGCAACAAATCATGATTCAAAGAATCAATATGAGGCTGTTTGCCAGTTGAATAAAAAGAAGGCTTTGGAGTCTTTGAAAAATCATTATAGATGAGTGGATGTTTTATTTTAAAATAACTTGTTACTGTTGAAATTGATGTGCCTTCTGCCTATTTATTATTACATATCTTACAGAGCTTGAATGTTTCAAAATCGTCACTAAGCTCATCAAGATATGCATGAACTGGTGCAAGTTTTCTCTTTTTTGATTGCAGGTTATTAGATTGGATAAGCTTTTTTTTTGTAAATTATGTTGGACATCTTTCTCAGAAGAATCAGTAATTATATAAAGCATTGTAGATATGGTAAATAATTGAAGACTTAGAATGTGTTATTGGAAGTTCGATAAAATTTATAATTTAGAAGGAAATGTATGTGGTCTTATATAATTTTTAAAAATTCTTTATTATTTTAATCTTGTTAAAATTTATTAACAATTGGTTGTTTACATTTAGATGAAAATCTTATACAAGCACCTCTTAATATAGCTAAGTATACTTTAAAAAAACACTTGTTTTTCTAATCTAGAAGCATGCTAATATGCTAATAATATCAATTTCTTCTTTTTAATATAAATTTGGAAACTAATTACATTGTGAAAATAGTTATTAGAATACCTTTTCAAATTTAAAGATCTATTAAGGCGGAAATTAGCCAGGGCGGCCCCTCAAAAGTGCCAGTGACATAATTATGGCACAGCCACATGTATATATATTGCAATATTAAATTAAAATCGGCCAGGGCGGCCTCCCCAATGTGCAGTTATACAAACCCATATAATATAAAGTTACAATCAGACAAGTTATTAACATTGATATCAATAACTTGTCGATTGTAGTTTTATATTATAAAGGTTTGTGTAACTGCACTTGGGAGAGGCCGCCCTGGCCGATTCATTGAATTAGGTACGTACAATTGCTATCTAAAAAAAAAGTGATTTACAATATGCAATTTGTAGCTAGAAGTGAACCAATAAGTTGCACTAATTGATCTTATGTCACTAGCACTTGGGGGCTGCCCTGGTTAATTTTTAAGGCGGCATCCGCAATTTACGTTAAACCAATAGTGTATTGTATAAGAATAGGGGCCTTGAAGGTAATGCCATGTAGTATTATGTTTTTATTGTTATTAGGATTCCTATAACAATACTAATTTAATGTAAGTTGTGGATGCCGTCTAATGCATATTTAATAAAATTTTTAAAGCATCCCTTCCAAAAACATGACCAGGACGATCATTGATTTTACGGGTCATTTATCACGATAATACAAAGTAATGAGTTATAAAAATTGAATATTCTTATATTCTACTGAATCTGATTAAATAAAAATTAAATATGAACTATCGAATAAAGCAATATATTAATTGTTTAAGGTTTCACCCTATCAAATTATATATATTTTTTTAAAAAAACTAAACTGATTTGTATTAACAATCAAGTATTCTTAAATTTTAAAGCGATTTGATTGGTGTAATGCAAGTTTCGGTAAAACCATATCAAATTCAAAATTGGAAAAAGCATTCAGACCTCTCTAAGTGCACGCCCTTGGACCACATTTTAATAACGCGTATTTAGAAGAATAATAAGAAAAAACGCATTTATAGAGGTCAAGCTTTTATTTGGGCCAGAACCTAAATGTGCATTTAGGGAGGGTGCGCACTGCACTTAGAGAGGTCTGACCGTAATTTGATTTGTCAATAAAATCACGGGTTTACAATATCATGTGATCCTCAAAGTCGACTCGGAGTCGGAAAATTCGAGTCGTTTAACACCCCTATATACATGTATATATAACTTATATATATATATAAAAATGCATTAATTTAAAATGATAACTATGCTTGCCGGCAAAACCCGGAACATTTTGCAAATTTATTATATATATAACTATAAAAATATCTACCATAAATAAAGATTAAAGTTTTTGAGATATTATTTTAGCAAGAGCTTTGTATTGGGCGTGGACACGGCTAACTATGGTGGTTTGGGATTAGGGCGGCAAGTATAACCTTAACCTAAGCACAAACTCTTAAAAGCTTTTATTCGTCAATTTCTCGCGATCCGAACCCAACTTTTTCCCACATCCCGTTGACCATTTATTGTAAATAAAGTTACTTAACGATCCGTGTAACATCTCGGTCGACTGTCATTAAGCAGAGTATTCGAAAATGTACAATAGAAGGTTTTAATAGGGATTATCTTTTAAATCGAGACCCCAATTTTTAGTAAACAAATTTGATTATATTTTTATATAAATTAGCTAATGATATGACTAATAGATGTTTATGGATCGACATCATCATCAAGAGTAAGCTCATCTAATAACTCTTCTAATTTTACTTCGGGGAAATCATCATCCTCATCATTATTCTCTTCAACAGTTGTATCTATGTCCATAGCATTATTATTAGACTTATA